TTAAAAAAATAAATAAATAAAAGTTAGTTAAATTATTTAGAATGTTCTTCTTACACTATTCATTTGAATTATTGTAACCACAATCTGTATTATTCACGACTTTTTCTTCCAGCGAAAAATTATTAAGTGCTGCAACGACTGCTAATAATAATTTGAAATATATATATAGTATCTTCTACAGAAGATATTAACTCAGGAAAATTTAATTTTCATTTAATTAATAAGCATTTATTTGATATAAATTAATTATAGTTACAAGTAATAAACGAATTGATCTCATTGAACATTATAAGAGCAACCGAAATCAAAAATGTCAGTTATTTTCATTTTATTAATAAGTACTTATAAGATATAAATTAATTATAGTTACATCAAGTAAACAAAATTGACATCATTGAACATGAACATACGCAACCGAACATTAAAAGTGTTATTTTTGAAAACATAAATAAATAAAAAATTTCCTTCGCATTCGCGGTTGCTGAAACCGGAGAAATCTTTAGGTTAAAAATACAAAAAAAAAAAAAAAAAAAAAAAAAAAAAAAAAAATCGAAATTCAAAACAATTAAAATTAAGAAACAAAAAAGAACAGAAATATAAAAAAACCCGAAAATGAAAACGAAGTAAATAAACAAACTCCAGTTTACTGCGCATGCGTGGTTACTCTAACCCAGTGTTTCTTAACCTTTTTGCTATAATGGATCCCTTTTAAAATTTTTTAAGAAGTCACGGACCACCCCCTTGTGAAAAAAAATTGAAAAAAACGTCAATTATTAGAAAACATTTTATTTTATTACTTTAATAGTATACAAAATTTTTAAAATTAAAATTTTCAATGTGAAGGTTGCTGCTGCTTTTCCTTAATTAATAAATTGAATTGGGGGATGGTTTTCGACAAAGCAACGTGCATATCATGTTCAACATTCAATCGATTTCGATGTTATGTTTTTATTGTCACAAGTGTGGAAAATCCCGTTTCGCAAAGATACACTGTAGCAAATGGAATTATAGCTGCCATAGCTCGCTTTACAAGCAATGGGTAGGCTTCCAAACGTTTTAAAAATTAAGAGTAGTCAGCGGATCCCCAAAATATAACTTATGGATCCCTTAGGGGTTCATGAACCACAGGTTAAGAAACCCTGCTCTAACCGGAAATATCTTCAGATTAAAGTTAGTTAACTCTGGGAAAGAGTAACTCGCAGTTACGTACACGGTGAAATGAAATTTTGGAATCTGAGTGGAGGTAACACATTAAAATAAAGTATGAAACAAGAAATGTGCAATTTTAAGAATAACAAAAAGTAAGACGTAAAAGTAAAGTATATTAAAATAAACGCATAAAAGAAAGTAAAAGTATATTGTTATAATTACACTTAATTTTATATAGGTTAAAGCAGTGTTTCCCAAACTTATGACTTTTGTGTACCCTTTCTAAATTTTTCGTTACGTTGTGTACCACTAATAAAAAAATTAATGTATTTTTTACTATAAAACAATTGCACAAAAGGTAAAAATGACAACTGGCTGTTGACACCACTAGTTATTAACTGTTAACTCTGCAAAAATAGCCAATAGAAAAATACGTAATCGTAAATTTTCATGGTCAGCTTTGTTCTTAAATAAAAATTTTGGAAATTTTTGTTCGTTCGAAGATATTTAGCGTAAACTGTTCCCCTGGGGGTACGCTTACCACACTTTGGGAAACACTGGGTTAAAGTAGAAAACATAAAAGAAAAGTAAATTAAAAGCTTAAAAGTAACGCTCAAAACATTATAACGATAAAAAGCAACACGTAAAATACACTTGAAAACTTATAAGAAAAGCAAACACACGTTAATTTAGCACAAATGCATAAAATTACTAATGCATTAAATATACAATAAAAAGTTTGGTAAATAAAGCATACGGAAAGTAAATTCATTGAAAAATAATGCGACAAATTAAAGCACCAAAATGTAACACATAATGAAAAAGTGTAAAATAAAATGTGTATGACGCATACAGGTAAAAGTAATGCATAAAAAATAAATACTTAATAATAAAATTCAATGTAAAACGCTTAAAAGTAATAAAAGAAAAACGCATAAAATTAACTGAAATTTAAACAAATCATAAAAAATTGCTACTCTAAAAATTCGAAACCTGAAAATGCAAAGATGTAAAAAACTCATGGAAAAGAAGCGTAAATGTAACTCATTAAAAATAATTTAAAATTATACATTAAAAAATGAGTAAAATAAGAAAAGTAAAAAATTAATAAAAGTAAGACGTAACAATAAAATGTAAAGCATTAACGCGTAATCTAAATACGTTGAAGGTTAAAGTAAAGTATAAGAGTAAAATGAACGCAGAAAAAGTTAAAGAACGCATAAACGTAAAAAGTTACGCATTATGAAAGGAAACGCTTAAAAATAGTCAAAATTTATTACTAAAAAACGCATACAAATAAAAACAACGCATAATCAAAGCAAACGCTTAAAAGTAACGCACAAAAGTAATTAAGACCAGTGGCATAAGAAAGGTAACGCATAAGAAATGAATGCGTAAAAGTAGAGCATATGAAACAAAAGAAAAAATAACTCATTCATGCGTTAACGTAAAGAAAGATTGATAAAAATTCGCAAATATTTTTTTTTCCTTTCTATTTTTGGTTTCAAATGAAAATCTCTATTGATCTGAATAAAAAGAGAAGAAATAAAATGTATTGACATCTAAACTCAGTAATCAAACAATGAATTTAAATTAATTCATTGAATTCAAATTTCATGAAAGTACCTAAAATTTTAGATAGGCATTTTTGTGTCAGAAAAATGACAAAAACGTAATGTTTTGGTAAGTAGCTTATATTTTATTTTGATAGCTTTACTTCATTTCTAACTAACTGTTAGTTTTTACCCAGAAAAATGTCGAAACAATAGATGCAGCACAAGTTCTTAGAAGAAATATTAATTATAAGAATAATTATAAGAACAATTATAAGAATTATAGAAATAATAATAACTAGGAGGCTTCACCCCCTGCTCGCTGGCCCTCGCCAACCCCCGGAACTGCTTTCGCAGTTCATTTCGGATTGCTTCGCAATCCAATGCTCGCTTTGCTCGCTCATTGGATACGTTCTTAACGTCTAGCTTTTGTATACTTTTTTGAATACTGATGTTCCGAAAACTTTTCACTGTAGAAAATTCTAAGCCTGTGCATTTCAATATTAATTTGAAATTGCAAACAGTTCACATATTTTCTTAATCACGAATACAGTTCACATATTTTCGAATACACATATTTTTCACGAATACAGTTCACATATTGCATACAGTTCACATATTTTCTTAATCACACTATTCTAAATTTCAGTTGTTGAGAAAAGTAACTGTTGTAAGTTTTGTTTTAAAGTCTTTCCCAACAGAGGGCTAAAGCCATTTGTTGTAAAACAATATGAAATAGTAGTCTACCACTGAACGCCTGATGTAAAGCATTGGCTTTGATGAAGATAATTTTGTATTTTTAATTCTCTGAAGGGCGCCACCTTAATAATGTGAAATTTGTAAAATAAATGTATATATTTTTGATTGTTAATGAAGCCCATTATTTTCTGTTTTCATCTGTGTTAAGAAGCAGAACAACTATAAGTTTTTTATTTTATCACAAAAATATAAAATGTATAAAAAACAAAGGAAAGAGTAAGAAAAGGAGTATAGTCATAGAAAAAGTTAAAATTATATGTGCGATAAAATAGATTTTTGTGCAATAATATTGTTCAAAATTATTTTAAATAATATTTTTTACTATAATTGCCTTTATAAAATTTATCTGATTATTAAATTTAATTATTCATTTCTAAAATAATCATTTTTTATGTCTATTTGTGGCAAGCAGAGTTGGCAAGGACACATTTTAAACCGTCCTGTCCGAAACCATTTAGTCACAATTTTAAAAAAAGCGAAAAATGAAAGGTTAATTTTTGAACAGAATGAAGAAAAGCTTTTGTTTTATTAAAAAAGTTTGTTTTTAATATAGCATTATTTATCGTTATGCAAAAGCATAATTTATCAGTATTAAAAGCATATTTATTCATATTTAAAGGTATTCACTTTTGTTGTTCATTGAATTGTGGAGCTTCATAAGTTATAAAATAGCTATGCAATTATGTTATTACAATAGTTATTCATATAGAATTTTTACCTTTCTCCAACGTTCAAGGTTTAGGACATTCTGAGACAGTTTTGAACACCCATAAGTCTTGTTCAAATTTTGCTTAAGACATCTAAAACCTCAACCCTGATTTCAAGTGATCAATGATTGTGTAAAATTTGAATTGAATTCCATTTAAATTATCTTTTGTTCTTTAAAATGAATTTTAAGTGATTTTTTAATTTGTGTGAAAGGAACTGAGTGCATTTTTATAATGGCCATTCCAAGCAATCAGTGTTTATGTGAAATTGTAATTCTTTAATTTCCTTTATGTTTTAACAGCTCTGCATGGAGATTCTTTTAGACAGACAGCTGAAGATGAAGATCTGAATGTAGATGTTGATGATACAATAGCCTATGGGGACCCTCAGTATCCTTTTTATTCCATCAATACCTAATTTGTATTTTAATGTCATTTTACAAAGGTATTTTATTTGTAAAACTAGCAGGGAAAAGGTTAGCCTAGAAGAAAAAAAAGAAAAAAAACTTCTTGAGTAGGTCCACCCTGGGCTGTCGAGCCATTGATGATGATTTTTATTTGGAAATTTCATTTACTTTTCTTGTAATGCACAAGATACCTTTACTTTTATAATTTAATGTTGAGCAATTATTGTTGCTTGAATCTGGTGCATAGCATTTTTGAAAAGTGTTTAAAGGTGCTTATTTTCGCTTTTTAAAAGACCTCAAAGGTGCTTTATTCATTGGGTGTTTTTAAAAAGTGCTTAGTTTTCCCTTTTCTAAAATAAGATTTTTTTTTTCTTTACTATGTCTATTTTCGAAACATATTATGCAAAAGCGTGCTTTTCGCATTGTTCTATTCAACGTTTTCACAATTCATTCAACCACAATCCATTTTGACCTACTGTAGGTCAATAGTAAGGTCAAAATAGTAAATAAAATAGTAGGTCAATAGTAAGGTCAAATTATTTTACATGTTTGATGAAATGCTTGCGAGTCTACTGAGCTGAGTTCAGTGAGATTTTAGCACTCTCGTGCTACCCTGCTGCATTTTGCAGGATATTCTTAATTTCAGTCTTCATTTTCCACCCTCTGAAATCGAATCGAAAAATCTCTCGATCTTTTTATGGTGACTGATATAATCAAGAAAAATAATTATTTTATCATGATCATGAAAAGTATTTTGTGTTTTGTTAATGTACACAGTGCTTAAAAATATTTTTTGAGTACTTAAAATGACTTAAAAGGAGCTTATTTTTGTTGAAAGATTTGGCCACGCAGCCAGGCTATATATTAGTGAAATTGGCACTTATTTTTTGAGGAATATCATTTGAAAGGCAAAATAAAAATAAATACATAGAATAAGTTATCTAAAATAAAACTTTCTTCTGCCATGAGGCCTTTGAAATATGAAATTCTAGAAAATTCGATATTTCAAGGTCCTTGTGGCAGAAGAATATATTATTTTATGGAATTATTATTATTTTTTCTGGGCAGTTTTACATCTTTTTCTTTTTTATTTTCAAAGGGGTTAATCCTAAACTGCTAATTTCTGTTTTATTTAAATAATAAAGGAGTAGTAAGAAATATTTTTGCTTTAATTAAGTATTTAAATTTGAAACCCTTTCACTATGAATAAATATCTTAAACTGTGTTCCTTTTATTATTATTTTCAGTACTTTTTAAGCAAAATAATTTTTTAATATAAGTTTTTTGATTGCAAAAAAAAATTGTTTTTAATAATATATTTTCTTGCAAAATGTGAAAGAATTTTATAAAATTCATACTTCATTTTGTTTTCAGACCAACAGGTGTTTTTTATTTTGCAGTCAAATGACAGAATATTTGATTTCAAATCCCAGTTTGTTGCTGCATCATTTTGTACTAATAACTGAACAAATTCAGCTGAAAAACAGTTTAGTTACTCTATTTGCAATTAAAAAAAAGTATATAATATTATAAGGAAGCTTTTATGATGTTTGTATGATAACAGATAAAATGTTTTTTTACCAGATAAAAGTGACAATTTGCATTTTATACTATACCTCTAGTTTGTCTATGGTAAGAACTCCCCTTGCCACAAAGTCTGAGGCTTTCTGCTGCTATGGAAACAAGACTAGCGCATTTCTGGGAGGGTAGCTTCTCGTCACTCTAGAGCTAGCACAATAGACCGAAGAAAGAGTTCATTTCTCTTGCTGACGGGAGCCAAAACTTACCCTAAACAGTGACCCCACACCCCTACTTGAAATAGTTTTACCTCGCTACCAAAGTCACCGCCGCAGGTCCAGACGAATGGCATGGGACTTCAGACAAACTCTATTTGTTTGATAACCATTGGTTAAAAGTTACATTGTAAATTCGTTCTGTAGCTCCACAGCATGTTATTGTATACTTCTCTAATTACAATGTTTCCTTAATTAAAATTTGATATTCTGAAATTGATGTGATTCCTAATACGTCATCTGAAAAAGATAGATCAGATTTGGAACAGCTTCGAAAGGCGGTGTAATTATTACTTTTATTTTATTTGTATATATTGGCATGCTTTATTTTCAATGTTAGCTATACTATTATTTTTCAAGAAATGTTTTGATAATTTCAGTGTACCTTATAAGGTTGGTATATTGCTGCACACTAGTACAAGATTCTGTCCTTTTTTTAATAATTTAATCAAGTAAAAATGAAATCTAAATTTATGAAAAATTCATATTGATTTAATATTTCTCCTCGGCTTGCTTCGGAACAAGTTATTACTCAATAATGAAGTGAGCTATCTATGGGCAGAACTTTATCCATAGAATTAATGGTGACTCATGGTCTGAAACCATGAGTATGATTGCTCCCCCTTGTCACTTGATTTAATTTTATATTTTAAAACCGTAGTTGATCAGTCGACCCAATTTTGGGTTTGCGTCTACTGATGTCCAACTCCATAGTCTTATACTTTTAAACCCAATCTAGAAGACAAGGAAGCTCCTATATCAGTATCCCCAGAGGTGTGATTTGTTATGGGAACACGGAGGACTTTGTGACTCAACGATCTTTTGGACATGGGCCCAGTGCCCTACCAGTTACTACAGCTACTAATTCTGCATGCATTATTATTATTTTTTTTTATGCTTATACATAGCTGCAAACTCAATTGCATTTTCCAATAGGCTACAGTATTTTGCCAGTTTCTCCTGGTTTAATAAAAATTCTCCTGGTTTTTGTGCATTTTAGAAAATTCCCTAAAATTGAGTAAGTTTCCTTAAAAAAGTCCCTATTGAAATAGAATTTTTGTGCAGATTATTGCTTGCTTGAATATTTAAATAAGTGTCACTAATTTTAATTATTAATTGCTAATTTTAATTATTAATTATTGATTCTAATTTTAATTATTAATTGCCCAAAAGAGAATAACATCAAAAAATATGGGGTTTAACTATTCACAAGGAAACAATCATAGATTTTAGCTTTCTTGTATTGATATCAGAAATAAATTAAATAAACCCTTTTTGTATAATATTGCTCATGCTTCAGAAAAATGTGTTTTTACAAAAAATTTAGATTTAGTCCTTACTAATTTTTAACTCTTTCAATTTTTGTATCAACAATATAAGCATTTTGAGAATGACTTTGAAATTTGTCTTGATAGCAAACATGCCCAGTTTTTACTCTTATTTTTTATAGCATTAAGTTACAAAATTACTTTAGTTACTTAAAATAATAGTGCTGATATTGTTTTCATTGTAAAGTTCGGTTGGAAAAAAAGTTGCATTTCGGGTTAGTAGCGTGTGTGCTTAAAAAAGAGTTAGTAAAACTATCATGCATTACCTGCAAAAATATTAATTTTTTTTTTTTCTACCAGAGATTCATCTGCACGTCCTCAAAATTTAGAGATAAGTCATAAATGGTGTAAAGCAGGTAAGTAATTAGTTTTATCTTCTTACATTAATTTTTTGCTTATGTGCTTAGATACATATAAGTTTGATAACATTTATAGGTAAAGGGGGACAACAGAGGGCACTGTGTATTGATATTATTTGATAAATTGTGATTGATTAAATGTGTTCTATATTTTAGTGACTGACCCACAGACCAGTAATATTTTATTTTCTCCATTTCCACCTCCGGGCAGTATGGTTCCCTGTTACATACCTGTCAAGTCTCCTGTTTTTTAACGAAAACTCCAGTATTTTACGATTATCTCCTGTTTACCTGTATATTCTCAAATTTCCCCGTATTTGCTGAAGAAATTTTAATAAAAAAAGTTTGGTAATAAAATATCCGCTGATGGCAAAAATGCTTCAATTATTCGTCAACAGATGGTGCTATTGCCAGTTCTGCAGTAGTTTGAGTGTTAATAGTTTAAGTAATTATAAATAATGGTTTAAAAAATCTTCTTTATATTAAGATTTATATATATATTTATTACTTCGCTGAATGTAAATGCTTATATTATTTCCAATTTTGAATTTCTCTTTTTGACTGATATGATGATGCATGATGTATCAAAATTTTACTCGTAGCCCTAAAAAATGTCATTTGTAAAATCTCCGTTATTTTTTATCTTCTCCAATGTTGGCATGTATTCTGTTATTTTTATACAGGCCTAACACTTTTATTTTGAAAATTAGGTAGTTTAGCAGTTACTGCAGTATTTTGTCTCTGCATTTAGCAACATTTTTTAGCCTCGAGATGGTTGGGATCGATAAATTAGTGTTGCCTTCTCAAAGCAGTGCTATTAGATTGAGGTTATGGTGACCTACAGTTTGTCTATGATAAGAACTCCCCTGACTGAGGCCGTCTGCTGCTATGGAAATATGAATGACGCATTTCCTGGAGGGTAGTTTCTCCTCAATCTAGGACTAACACAATAGAAAAAAATTCCCTTTCTTTCACCGAACCGAGTGATACCCTGTCCTAAACAGTGACCCCACAGTACTTGAAATAGTTATACCTCGTTACCATAGTCACCGCTAGGAGAGTTCTTACTTTAGCTGGCTTTTCCTTCTAGTGAAGTGCATGCTTGTAACAAATTTAGAGCAGATCAATTAAAATTGACTAGAGAATATATATAAATTCTGATATCATATTGATTTAATCTTTTGTTAAGAATATTTAGAATAATATTATGAAATACTTTCAGTGTTTTCACTAAAAGTATTTCGTAATACTCTAAATAAAATTATTATTATGATATAAGATCATACTTATTTCATGGATTTTTCTTACAGACTCAGATACTGAAATCTCAGAGTTATCAAAGTAAGAAAACATATTTGTTTTTACCTCTATTATGAAGGTTCCCTTTTTGTTTTGTAAGGTAAAAGATTTTTATTTGTTCTAGAAGTCTAACTGATTCAGATCCAGTGGTTTCATCATTGAAAGAAAAGATCAAATCTCTTGAAGATCAAGATAAGAATGTTCGGTGTCTCATTTGTTTGGTAAACTTCATTTTATGCATTTATACATTCTTTTTTAAAAAATAAGTATATTTTATTTGATATGTGGGGCCCTGTGGCAGAATCGTGGTGACACAGCGACATTGTCGCAGAACACTACTGAGTTCTTGTAGAAAGATTTTTCCTTTGGGAAGTAAAAAAACTTTGGTTTTCTTTTCTTTAGAAATTTTCAAAAGAATTTTCTTATCTCCACAGAATTATAGTCAAACAATGCCTTTCTTGCGCATTCGAGTGAAAAAAGAAATATTAGTGATTTTTCTGTTCTCATTTGAGAATAATGAAAGAGTAATGAAGTAAAAATCTTTGATTTTCTTTTCTGCAGAAATTTTCGTCCTTTTTTTTTATGCAATTATTACTATTGATTTCAACGTAGTTTTAAAAAAAATATTTTAAAATCTGTATTATTTGTTACAGCAACTGAATCTAAAAAATGAATTTAGTAACCCCTTTTTGAAGAGTCTGATTTGCGTGATTTTGAAGTCGATCTTTTGTAACAGTAGTTAATGCTGCGGATGTCATGATTTTTTTTTAATGGGATGAGGATTTACAAAAGCCGAGAAAAATAAATAACTATTGTCTTCCCCCCCCCACAAGATGCAAGACTATCTACATAGTATTAGAATAATAAAAAATATTACGTATTCAATTTAAAAAGTTTTTTTCTTTCTTTGAAATTGACGCTTCTGTTTTTTTAATTTAGTAACATGTTATTTTTAAAAGTATTTTGCAGAAAGATATTAGTATTAGAGGGGCGTGTCGCAGAAAGCCCCAAACAATTCTGCCACAGGGTAATTGGGAAATGTAAAGTAAGAGTTTTCTTTAAAAAAAAAAATTAGCTTAGATGTTAATCACTTGCGCGGAAAAATTATTTGATAAAGCTGATTTATGTTTTCAGTATCGGACTTTTAATTCTTCTAATTTTGAACACGAATTCAAACTAAGTTAACTAGCCTACTGTTACCCTTATCGTTAAATAATTACAACATCTATTACAATTCAATTATTTCATAAAATTCCACTTTTTAGCGAAACTTTTCCATGTTTCCATTCTTCTCATTCTATTATTTGTCATACCTGCCAAGTCTCCCGTTTATTAACAAAGACTCCTATATATTTTACGACTATCTCCTGTTTACTTGTATATTCTCAATTTTCTCCGGATTTGATGAAGAAATTTTGGTGATAAAATATCTACTGAGGAAAAAGATGCTTCTCTTATTCCTCAATAGATGGTACTATTGCCAGTTCTACATCTTGTTGAATGTTTACAGTTTGAGTAATTATAAATAATGGTTTAAAAAATCTTCTTTAGATGAAGATTTATATACATTTTTTTTACTTCCTAAATGTAATTATTGTATATTATTTCCAATTTTGACTTTCATAATTATGCATGATGTATCAAAACTTTACTCGTAGCCCAAAAAACTTTTACTAGTAAATTCTTCGTTTTATTATTCTTCCAATGTTGGCGGGTATGATATGTTTTTGCTCAGAAAATGTTATGTTTGACCAAACAAATAAAGTAAAAACATTTTCTTATGAAAAATTGCATAGTATAGATAAAATACAGTATCTATTGCCTGATATATCTTGAAAAGTCATGGAATTGTTTTCTTAAAATTGAGTGAGAACCCGAAGCATTAAAATGTCATTCAAGTTATTTCTAATTTGCATGAATTGTTTGCTAAATACTTTTGAAAGTTTTTCCTTCCCTTTTCTTAAAGTCAAAAAAATTATTTAAAAGATTTTAAGAGAGGGATACATACCTGCCAAACCTCCTGCTTTTTAACGAATACTCCTGTTTTTTACGACTATCTCCTGTTTACCCGAATCATTATCAGATTTCTACGTATTTGTCGAAAAAAATTTTTATAAGAATTTTGGGGATAAAATATTTACTGATGGCAAAAATACTTCTCTTATGCCTCAACAGATGTCGCCAGTACTGCAGTATGTTGAGTGTTAATAGTTTAATTCTAGCCGTGATGGCTCAGGGGATAGAGTGTTCCAATGAGGGTTCGAATTCCAGCGATGACTGGTAGATACAATTCTGCTCCCGGCTCTCACCGACTAGAATGCTGAGGTTAAAAATATCATCAGTGGTAGATAGATCATGAGTTAAGAGTCCCCTTGCGTGAGGCTAACCATGAAAGGTCTTCATGGTTTTCCTCTCCATGTAATGCAAAGACGGGTTAGTTCCCTTGTCTTCTGGATTGGGTTCAAAATTATAAGATTACGGAGTCGAATATTCATAGTCGTAAACATGAAATTGGGTCGATTGTTCAACGACGGTTATAAAACAGTTTAAGTAACTATAAATAATATTTTTTTAAAAAAAATTTTTAGATTAAAATATATATACTTATTTTTTACTTCGCTAAATGTGAGTGCTTATATTAATTCCAATTTTAAATTTCCCTTACGTTATTATGCATGATGTATCAAAACTTTACTTGTTACCTAAAAAATTTCGCTAGAGAAATCTTACTTGTTTTATTTCTTCAGTGTTGGCAGGTGTAATCATTATTTTTTTAATTCATAGCTCATTTCTTCATTTCAATTATATGTAATAAAAAAAAATGTTACCAAAATTTATTAGACGTCAAAAGCATCAGTAATAGTATAACAATTTTTACAGTTCCCCTAATAAAACAAATAAATGCCTTTTACCTATTAACTTTGCTTTTTACTACATAGATATTGTTTTAATATTTTAGTTAGAACCTATTACTGGAATTAATTGTCACCCTTGGCCTTCTAAACAAATTAGTACTACTTTTCTGATAACTTTAATTTTTAGTACGTAGCAGTTTTGTTGTTTTCAAACTTTTTTATTGATTTTAATTACATAGGTTTAACGAAACATTTTTTAAAGCATATATCTATAAAAAATTTAACGCAGTTTCAGATAATACAAATTTAGTGACTCACTGTCTATGCTACCGTCTTCACATTAATCAATGAGCATATCTCACATAAGAAACAAAAAATAATTAAATATTAAAAACGTGTAATAAGCTCCTTTTTCAATTACTCTGAGCTATAACCTAGCAAACATCACTAATGTTATTTTAAAATATGTGAAAGAGAAAAAATAGTTATCTGCAATTTCGTACTTATTAATAATTAGTAAAGTTGTGAACCAATAAAAAAGAATTATTTTCAAACATTTCTCTTTAACGAAATAATTGAAATTTTCAAATGACTTTAGAAGCTGTAACTGGACCTTTTCCCTACTGTCCAAGCGTCAGGACACTAGAAATACTGAACCAAGTTACAAATTTTATTAAAAGTTTAATAAGGGACATTCACTAATTTACATTTGTAATCTAAATCTATTAAGATGTTCTTAGTTTGCTTGATTCCTTACACATCTTTATAAATTCAGTATGATCGATAATATTGATCTTGTTAATGTTTTTGGTCAATGTACATTTATAAATAACTCTTATTTAAATCTAAAATATTCAATCGATAACTTTTTTAAATAATATTTTAAATAATTATTAATTTGAATTAAAATTATTTTTTACATGATCAAATAAAGTTGTTATTAAATTTAAAAATAGAATAAAATATCAATATGAATTTGTGCATAAATTGTTATTACTGTGGAGCTCTTTAAAAAGAAAACAGCCTTTTCTCAGAATAATATTTTAACTAATTATTAATTTGAATTAAAATTATTTTTTACATAATCAAATAAAGTTGTTATTAAATTTAAAAATAGAGTAAAATCTCAATATGAATTTGTGTATAAATTGTTATTATTGTGGAGCTTTTTAAAAAGAAAAGAGCCTTTTCTCAGAAACTAGTTATTTTATTATGATCATGTAAAGTCTGTGAAAATGATTTTGTATTATGTTGGCAGGTATATATAAGAAATTCTTTTTTTTTCTTTTCCAAATTAAGGTGATTAATGTGGTTTTTCTTTGTAGGAATCTTATACAAAACCTGTTGTATCCACCACCTGTTGGCATGTGCATTGTGAATAATGTTGGCTCATGACAATGGTAACTATATTTCCTTCCTCAGAAGGCACTTACTTAAGCCTTCTGATAAAAGATATATTAATAATCATTTTTTTTAATTACTGAACAAAACTTTCATAAATGCAGATTTAGCAATTTTTATATCAATACAAATCTTTAATATTTTAAAAAATTTTCAAACCAAAAACAATATTTAATATTAACTTAATAAATTAAATTTATATTTTTTACATTTGTTTTTTCCTCTCACTGCTGTGTTACTATAAGCTGTTATGTTAAAAAATGTTATAAAAAGAATGGTCAAGTTTATATTTTTGGTCAAAAGAATGGTCAATTTCTACTATTAGTTCACACTCTCCTTCTATATTGTTCAATCATTCATAAAATACTTTTTATTCATCTAAGTTCTCAAGTTCAAATACATTTTGTTTTTAAACTTGTAGTGGATGTGACACTTGATGCTAATACAGTTTTTTCAATTACATTCATTAAATGTAATTAATTAATTTTAGTTCTACTTGATAGGAAAAATTTTAATTATTTAATAAAAAGTAACTAAAATAAAATTTTTCTAGTTTACTTTTTTTTTTAGTCTACTTGAAGTAAAATATTTAATTTTTTGAACTTTTAAATAAATTAAAACTATGTAATTCTGTTTTAATTGATGTGTAAGTTTTTTTCTTTCGTGATATATTTTATAACATTTTTACAAATGTATAGAATATTTACGTATATATATGTATTCAAAAGTAGAGAGAACATGGAAAATATCACAGAACAAAGAAAAAAGGGGGAAAATTAATAAAAATCCGGAAAATAAAAGATTATATTTTATTTTATAAAATTATTAGAAAAGATTTTATAATTTTTTGCGGATTTTTATAAATTATTTTCAGATTTCTATTACTATTTTTCTTTTTTTCATTGTTCTGTAATTTTTTTCCATTTTTTCTCTACTTTTTGAACTTATTTTATCAGTTCTATTTGCTTGCAGCTTATGCACAGTAAATAAAACTTATTGTTTTTCTTAATTTTCTTTGTTTTTTTCTTTTTGTATTTATTTATTATGCTATATGTATATATATATTGTTGCTTTAACGCTATATAATATACCAAATATGATACAAAAACGTTAGTTTTTGGTTCGACAATTCATTGTTAGGTGGAGCACTGGCAGTATGAATTTCTTAATTGGCTTTTAAATATAGATCTATATTTCAGATATGCTACAGCAGTTTTGTAAAAACAGCTGAACTTTTAGCGCTATAATGCAACAATTGTATTTACTATGTTAAATAAACATCATCACTATACTTTATACATAAATTAGATTCAATTATTTTAACAATTCAATACGTACAAACAGAGAATGAGGTTATGAGAAAAAGCAAGCAACTACTTTACAAAGAAAATTATGTTAACTTCATTCTTTTGTTTTCAGTACTTTTAATCGTTGATACAGGCTTCCTTTTGTGTTTAATTTGCTGAATTATTTATTGTTTAATTTGTTTATTTCTAATAGTTTTAATTTTATTGTTGAAAATGATTTTTCCTTTTAAAACAATTCCTGTTTAACCTCCAAATCTTTTTGATATGTCATTTTTAATATTAACTTAATAAATTAAATTTAAATTTTTTATTTTTTACATTTGTTTTTTCCTCTCACTGTTGTGTTACTATAAGCTGTTATGTTAAAAAATGCTGTAAAAAGAATGTTCAAGTTTATATTTTTGGTTTCTTTTATGATTTAGTTTTTATTCAATTCCCATTATTAGAGTTCTCACTCTCCTTCTATCTTGTTCAAATTTTCATAAAATACTTTTTTTTCATCCACTCAAGTTCAAATACATTTTTTTTAAACTTGTTGTGGATGTGACACTTGATGCTAATACCGTTTTTTCTATTACTAATTCATTCATTAAATGTAATTAATTAATTTTAGTTTTACTTGATAAGAAAAATTGTAATTATTTAACAAAAAGTAACTAAAATAAAAAATTTCTAGTTTTTTTTTTTTTTTTTTTTTTTTTTTTTTTTTTTTTTTTTTTAGTCTACTTGAAGTAAGAAATTTAATTATTTGAACATTAAAATAAATTAAAACTAATTCTGTTTTAATCAATGTGTAAGTTTTTTTCTTTCGTGATATATTTTATAACATTTTTACAAATGTATGGAATATTTATGTATGTATATATTCAAAAGTAGAGAAAACATGGAAAATATCACAGAACAGAGAAAAAAGGGGGGAAATTAATAAAAATGCAGAAAATAAAAGATTATATTTTATTTTATAAAATTATTACAAAAGATTTTATAATTTATTGCGGATATTTATAAATTTTTTTCAGATTTCTATTACTATTTTTCTTTTTTTCATTGTTCTGTAATTTTTTACATTTTTTCTCTACTTTTTGAACTTATTTTATCAGTTCTATTTGCTTGCAGCTTATGCACAGTAAATAAAACTTATTGTTTTTCTTAATTTTCTTTGTTTTTTTCTTTTTGTATTTATTTATTATGCTATATGTATATATATATTGNGCCTAACTTAAACATTCATGGAAATATAGACATTTAAAAGAAAAAAAATATTGAAAATGCAAAAAGTTTCTAGTAATTTTGTTGTTTCTAGTAATTTAAAATTCCAAAATTAATATGAGGGCTGTAACTGCAATCTGGAAAATATGATCGTCATTGTCAAGAGAGCAATAAAAATTCTCCTCAATTTTAATGATTTTAGTAATGTAAATTTAATAACTCCTTAATATTAATTTCATTCTTTGCATATTTCACCATGTCTCTAACGGAGAAAACATCATTTTTAAAGACTCTTATTCTATGCACAGAGTGCAAAAAGATTTCTTTAAAAATGAAACCTTTTTGCACTCTGTGCATAGAATAAGAGTTAGATTAATCATTATCATGACTGGCTCGATAACCCTGGGTGGACCTTGGCCTTCTGAAGATGTTTTTTCCAGTTTAACCTTTTTCCTGCTAGCGTTTTCCAGTTTTTAGTTTTTAAGATCAAAAGATCTTTTTCTAGGCCAATCTCAAATTTTGCCTGCTCTCTTTTGTGGTACGGTCTTTGTCCATTCTGATAGTGTGTCCTGCCCATTTTATTTTTTGTCGTTTAATAAAATTAATAATGTCAGGTTCTTTATATGAGTGATAAAGCTCTAAATTTGTTCTTCTAAGCCACACAAACTTCAAAAATACTTCTCAAGTCCTTTCTCTCAAAATAACTTATCCGTACAAGATAGGGTCCAAGTTTCAGAAGCATATGTTAAAATAGATCTCAAAAGAGATTTGTACAATAAAACTTTTGTTTTTTTATGAATTACATAAGATTTATATATTTTCGAATTCCATTCAAACATCTATTGGCAATAATAACTCTCCTTTGTGTTTCCATTGTAATATTGTTCCTGTTAAATTAATAGTTTATTAAATAAGAGCAAAAATTTTAAATTCAAAGATATACAAATTTTTATATAACTTTAAATGACAAAATCTGCTGATTTTTACAATTCTGAGTGCAAAATATATTTGGCTTGATTAAATAGTTCTACAAATAATTTAATTTATGCAAAAATTACATTTAAAAATCCAAAGTTTCAACTGCTTTCCCGACTTAACTATTCGGACCTAATCTTCCAAAAGGT